AATAATAATAATAATAATAATAATAATAATGAAACTAATCAACCCATAACTTATTAGTCATAGTGTGCATTCTACGGCATTCATTATGTCATTTGTCCCTCTAAATAGTCTTATTTTACACATGAATAAATCAATGCTGAAAGAGAAAAAATAGCATAGTCTGATGTACATAACTAGTAAGTGGTGCAGTCAGCATTTGATGCTAAGCTTATTGGACTTCAAAGCTTCCTTAGAGGACTTGCTTCCTCACTCGGTGTTTCCTGTGCCTTTAGATGATTTCACACATCAGTAAATCTTTAACATAACAAAGTTTTGCATAACATACTGCTGCCAAAGTTTGATTTTGCTGTCAGAATATTAAACAACAAGAAAAAAACACCTCCTATCAACACTATTTAAAAAGAAATACTATTATGACCTGAAATAAGTAGAAAGGGAAATCTAAGATTAATTCTTCCCAAGAAAAAACAGTCGATAACTCACATACATACACACACATATACAATTATACATACACTCACATGTGAATATTGTAAAAAGACAAAAAGGAAAAAAAAAGAAAAAAAAGAAAAAAAAAAGGAAAAGAAAGAAAAAAAAAGAAGAAAAGAAAAAAGTCCTAAAAAAAATCTTAGTTCACAGAGCAGGATTCAAGAAAAGATACATTATTTCTCCAGGTCCTTGCTTTTCTTTCCACATCCCATCCTCCCTTTGTATTATCTCTCCATAATTCTTTTCTAATTTGTCACTACAGAAAATTGAATTCTATTCCCTGAAAGAAAGCATGAGGTTGAAAAACATTTAAGAGCCCTTTAAATGCAAACCCCGTTCAGTTTACAGTGGTTCTGGAGAGCTGCCAGATCACGACCTGGTCCCTGAAAGTACAAGCAGAGCAGGTGCTGAAGAGTGAAGAGTTCGGGTAGGGAGTGATGTAATGGTGGCCATGGAGAGCTGTTGCCTCCATGTTAGCCTTTCTTATCACCATAGATCCTTCTAGGCTCAAAATGAAAGTACACACTGGGAACCAAGTTGGGGGGGAAAATCCCAAGAAGAATCCCTTAGTCACAAAATGGTCAAAAATCAACATGGTGGCAGAGAGGAAGGCTAGTGTGGTGGGCACTATGGTGCACACAAGATCCCCCTGGAGTGAAGCACTTGTTGTACCAGTTGCTGAGGTGACTCTCAGCATCTTCCATGAAGATGTCTTCTGCCAAAGCTTATGACCTTCTGGGCAGTTTACATCCACTGACTAAGCAGTAAGAGAGAATCAACCTGGGACCACGTCATAGAGAGCAGAGGATCAACTTGGGACCACTCTGAAAAGCCACTTGGCTCAGTCTACCCATGGGATTAGCTGAGGCTGTCATTTGGCCTGTGTGGTATCTTGATGTCTCTTATTGCCCAATCTTACTCCCTTTCCTTTCACAGTTATTGTAAATGCCTTAGTAAACATTCTATTTGAGATGTTCTGTCCTGGGAAACCAACCTTCATTAAATGGGAATTCCTTGGTGACCTGAAAAACTCTTAGCATGTATAGAATCTATGCAGGTAGGAGAAATCCATGTTAGAAAGTGACTGCAGTAGACCTAGTCTAAGAGTGTGTGTGTTTGGAGTGGGAATGGGATTTTGTGAGACACCTAAGAAACACTGGCACAGGATGAGAGAAAGACACTAGAGAGGCTCATTCCCACCACACCAAAACGAGAAACTTGTCGCCTTTCATTGGTGGTCCCCACACTGTAAATTATTCTTCTATCTCATCAAGAAAAAACAATATTTTAGACATTCTGATGTTGAAAAAGGCAAATCAATGTTTTAAAATATATACCATTAACTTTTGTCAGACTCCACATTCTCTGTGTTTGTGTATCAGAAGTCTCTAACTGGAATTCAAAGGGTGGGAAGCATCAATAATGTATAAGTTGTAGTGACCAGAAGACTCACAGGTTCTGTGTCCTCAGTGAATGTTTAGAAGAAAAACAGTATTACTTTCAAATGGGTTGTACAGATAATAACTACTACCAACGTGTGCATTCATTCACTAAATCACTGCAGTCACCATAGACATTTATAGAGATGTTGAATTTTGACTGATTTTTTTAAGAAGAGGAAGCAAGAAAGTATGAACAGAGACACTTCTGATATATGTTAAAAGCACAGGGAAATTCAAGAAAGTAAGAAAACATTTTAAACACATCCTTATTGTAGACAATGAAGGGGAAGACATACGGGTGAGTCTTGACACTAGAGAAAAGAGCTAGGGGCAAAAGAGCTAGGGGCCTTTAAAAGCCAGACTAGGAAGTTTACAGATACCTATCTTTCTATCATTTATATATAAATAAACTTATATAATTCATATATAAATAAATAGATAGATGATTGATAGATATAGCAGGCACTTAAACTTTTACAGCATGGAAATTGAATAGTAGATGATATAGTTTTGGAAGATTGAAACAAAAATAGTTCATAAACATGGTTAAAAGGTAGAAGATTCCAGAAGTAGACTATCACTTGTAAACTGAAATCATCATCATAGTGGTAGCTTAAGTAATTCAACTATCATAGTTCATAAAAACTTGCTGAGTAACCCCTCTAAACAAGGCACTGCACTGGAAAATCTGGGGCCAGTAACAAGTTAATTATGTATTGGGTGTTGGAAAAGTCATAATGTATTTTTTCTATGTAAAAATGTGTCATGCCTTTTCCAACAACCCAGTAGTTCTGAAGTCTGAAGCTGAATGCAAAGGCAGGAATTCTGCCTCTAAGTTATTTATTCTATCTGTCTAACGAGGAAGCCTTAGACACTAGAGGTAGAGAAAAGGAATGAAAAAACCTGGGGCACACACCACCTTGGGGAAGCTGGAAGACCAAGCACAGCTCTGTACTCAGAACCTTGACCATGGCACCTATGGCAGTGACTGGACTTGTGATAGCTCCAGCATGATCATGGGTCAGGAGCACTAGGCCACCAAGTGAAGAACTGGCTATGAGCCATAAGTGTTTGAGGTGAGGTGGAAGCAGCTGCAAGACAGCTAGTTAAGAAGGGGGGATACGGGGACAGAGCATTGTCAGGGCGGGGAGGTAGTGTTATCTGTTGAAGATATTTTGATCAACTGGGCCGGGGAGAAATGTTCACATATTGAAATGTTCACTTTGTAAGCTAAACAATGTGATTGAATGTATTTAAAAAAGGTAAATAAATAAAATAAAACAAACAAAAAAAAAGAAGGGGGTAAAGTGAAACAAACCAAACACCTCCCATTTAATGTAGTCCTGCAAATCAAAATTCCCAGATGACAAGATTGTTAAGAAGGAAAACCAGGGAGCCCAGCAGTTATGAGAGCTGGATCCCTGGGGCCAGCAGAGTTAGCGGTTATGTCACTGGACTTCCACATGGCCAACTGTGGTTTGAGTCCCAGACCAGGTGGCTTGAAGCTCACACTGGGCACATGTGTGTGCATGTCCAAGATCCTGAGAGAACAGAGAAGAGATTGCAGCATAGCCATCCCCCTGGGGTGAATTCTCACTTTCCTTTTCACTGTCTCTGTCTGTCTCTTTCTCTGGCGAGTGCACACGCCCTAATGCAAAAACTTCTAAAATAAATAAGTAAATAATTTGGGGAGGGGGAGAGAGAGAGCTGGATTCCACATAGCCAACTGCAATTTGAGTTCCTGCCCAGTGGCTTGAAAATATGCTGGGCATGTGTGCGTGTGTGCCCAAAATCCTCACGGGATGAAGAAATGGAGGAAAGAGGATTGTGCTGTACCACACCCTGTTAGTAGGTGTTTACTTTCTTTCTGTCTTTTTCTCTGTGGAGCACACAGGCCCTTTGGCAACAAAAGGGGGAAAAAAGAAAAAAGAAAAAAAGAGCCAACAAAAATCACCAGTCAGAGAGAAGATCAATTCACTCTATGCCAGCAAGACATCTTTGAAACAGAATCCAAAGACACAAAGAAGGGTAACTAATTAAACAACAGTGAAATGACAGCTCGAACTCTAGTAGAAATAAAACAGCAACATTCATCTAACAGGGGCTCCAGAAGAGAATAGACAGAATGTTAGAGCAGCCATATTTAAATAGGATACTACTGAAAATACTCTAAAATTCAGGAAAAATATGACTCTTCATATTCCAAGTACATTCTGGCTACAGTACTAGATAAACCAAATTCACAGTATACACATTGTACTAAAACTGTACAAAGAAACCAGATTGGTTTTGTTTTTTCTTTTTTTTTTGGAGAGATTTTCACTGTAGGGCGCGTGCGCTCGCCAGACAGACAGAGAGAGACATAGAGACAGAAAGCGAGAAATCACCCCCCAGGGGGGATGGTCACGCCGCAATCCCTTCTCCTCCATTCTCCTCTTGGGATCTTGGGCACGCACGCACACGCGCCCGGCGTGAGTTTTAAGCCACCGGGTCCGGGACACGAACCGCGGTCGACTACGTGGGAGTCCAGCGACATAGCCATTACGCTAACTGCTGGTTCCCAAGAAACCAGATTGTGACATGCTTGTTTCGCATCTGGATCCCACACGGCCAGCTGCATGGTTCAAGTCTCTGACCCAGCAGCTGGAGAAACACGCCAACACATGTGCATGCATGCCCAAGATCCTGAAAGGAAGGAGAGACGAAGACGGGATTGGGACGTGACCATTCCCTGATTGGAGGTGGAGGTATTTTTTTCACTTCCGTTTCTCTCTCTTTCTCTGCTGCTCTCTGGCAAGTGCATGTGCACTTTGGCAAAATTTTTTAAAAAATCAATCAAACAAACAAAACACTGTGAAGCATAAACTTTGGGCACTACAAAAGCTGCCTAGAAATATCACCTACAAAGGAACAATAACTAGATTGATAGGATAGTAAGCAAACAGAGATGCCTAAGGGTAATGGAATAATATCTGCACAGTGCTAAGAGAAGGGAGCTCTGGACTCAGACTTTTAAACTAACTTCAAGTATCAATTAAGCGTGAGGCAATATTAAAACATTTCTCAGACAAAAAAACTAAGAGAGTTTAAAGTCCACATGCTACCATTAAAAGAACTTGTAAAGAATGTACTTCGGTAAATAGAAAACAGAAATAGGAGAGAAGGAAATGAGAAGCAAGAAACAATGCAACTACCTTCCATCCTGGACAACTTCCAAAATTTTTATTTTAGTCCAAGGAAGCAGGGAAATAGGCATTTTATCTACCTGGCATACTTTAAAAACATAGAGAGAGAGAAAGCAGAATAATCTCTGTCTCTCAACCTCATGCTCTGTTTTCCTTTCTTGTTCTTTCTGAAAATTGGACTGCAGGGTGTTTGAATATTTTTTTTTTCCCCTTTGGGTCTACTCAGATTTGGGGGCACATGACTCATCTATAGAATCTTCCTAATTGTGTTGTCTTTAAAAATCAACCTCAGGAATGTTTGTTCTTCTAGTATTGTGATAAATGCTTGAATGTCCCTCCCATTAAACCTTCAGAGTTGCTCATTCCAACCATCCAGGTAGGCTAGTTAAGGGAGTGGGTAAGGGAACTGGATTCCCACACAGTGGACCATGGTTCAAATCCCAGCCCTAGCAGCTTGAAAAATAAGCTGAGCATGTGTGCTCCAAATCCTGACAGGATGGGGAAATTGAGGAGAATGGATCACAGCCTGGCAATGCCCCATCCCTACTGGGGATGCTTTCTCTCTCTCTCTCTCTCTCTCTCTCTCTCTCTCTCTCCCTTTGATAAGCACATACACCCTCAAGCAACTAAAAAATAAGTTTAATTTAAAAAATAGAATTGTTCAAACATTAAATTCCAATACTGTAGAGCATTGTAATTAGTACAGAATATTTATTGTCTCAAATATTTAATTCATCTGGTTTTTTGTCTGTTGATAAATAAATGATTCTTATCAGAGTATAGCCATTAAAAAAGGCATCTTCTAATATCAATAGAATTCTACATGGATAAATGCCAATTCCAAATATGAAGTCATATAAAGTGTACTACCTGTGGTTATGCACTTTATGTGCACAATATTCTTCTGTCAAATGCTTTAAAAAATTTAAAGGCAACCCACTACCAAAAGCTAGAATAAGACAGGAAATATAGAAACCTAAAACTTGACTGTACAGAGAAAATACTGGGATAAACTGTCAATAAAATTTAGACTGAAAAAAGAGGAACAGAACTCAAAGCTTAAGAAATAGGAGAAACCTGGAAAAGATCATGAAAAAAGTAGAATGAAAGGGCAGGTTTATTTTAGTACAAAAATACTTTGAAATTCACGTGTAGTTTTCCTTTTTAATAATATATATTTTCTTTGAACTTTTGGAAGCCCTCCTACCCATGTTTAGGAAAGGAGAAGGCAATAAAAACAGAATATATTCAGAAATATGTGGGAAAGAACAGACATAGAGGTCTTCAGAAAGTCTAAAAAATTGGCCTGGCCCCAAGACCTAGTGGTTAAGGAAGCCAGATCCGACATGGCTAACCATGTGGTTTGAATCCTGGTCCTGTTGTGTCCTAAGCCCTCTTAGCATGGATACATGCTAGGTGTGTGTGCGTATATTATGATGGGGGTTGGGTGAAGGTGGATCACTGTGTAAAGGCCCTTTTGGGTCTAACTTTTTCTCTCATTTAACAAATAAAAAAAAACTTAGACAAGAATTGAAAGGGCCTATCACGTATTTATTCTATGTCTCCCTGGTGATCAGCAGTGCTTCATCTACACTTCACGGAATTATTGGATCTCTCAATTTTTCCATTTCTTCTGCAATACAGAAGAATGCAGATTAAAATGAGAGCCAAAATCTAATTTCTGACTAACTTTTGTCTCATCCATGAATAAACCATCTCCCAAGTGCTGTTAAAAATGTAAAAAAAATGAATTTGATTTCGTGTTATTTTTCTGCTTTTCATTTGCTTTTGACAAAAAAAAAAAAATATTCCTGACAAAGATAATAAGAGAAGCCAAGACCTTAAAGGATAGTCTTTCATTGCTTGAAGATAAATCAATAATGATTATGACCTTACCAATTTAATTAATGCACATGAGCCATTTCTCTTCAATTTGGAGAAAATTGGAGTATTTACAACATCTTTCAAAAATCATCTTTAAAATCTAAATTTGCAAGCCATAGTGTAATAGTATGTATTTATTATGGTTAGAATATTTATTTTGCAAAGGTAAAAAATTCAAATGCATGGTATGATAAAATTATTATTTATTCATTAAATGGGCCTTATATATGCTCACTGTTACTCATATTTCTCCCAGTTTTACATGACAAATAGAACATAAGCTTACATTTTATATGGCTGTTAATACGGTAATAGTGTTTGTCCCTCTAATTTTTGTAGTACATGGTAGAAGGCTTTATTTAATTTTGTCTGATAAATAGCTGTAGTGAAAATAAGGAAACCATTGCCCAGAAAACAGAATTTTTTTCAAGACTTCACACAGAATCATGACTATGACTTATCTCACATAGTGTCCTTGCCCAGAATTCTAGCCTCCAAATATACTTAGTTTCCTATAAAAAGTTAAAACTGTGTTCTAGAAGTGTACTATATGACAAGTGTATTCTCCCTGTAAAGAATTTTCCAATTTGAATATTTTAATGGAATTAATAAATAAATTAAAGCTACTTTTACTAAAGTAACTTTCTCAAATGTTAATGATTATGTAAATTTTTAAAGAATTATTTTATTTAACTTTATTTACTTATTTACTTATTTTAATTTGACCAGAGTGACAGAGCAAAAAAATGAAAGTGAGAGTGAGTGAGACGGAAAGTGAGAAAGCAAACCGCCCGGCCCAGGACTCAAATCTTGGTCAGCCATGTGGGAGTCCAGTGTTCTTAACCACTATGCCACCTGCTGGTTCCATGATTATTTCATTTTAATAAATTATGGCTTCAAGTGTTTCTGCAACCAGACTATTTTCTCATGACATCTAAAACTGAAGATGTAATTAGAAGGCAAACATGAAGCAATAAATTATAAAATCTCTCAATTATTCTATGTGGTATTCTGGGGAGGTATAGAAAGTGAGAATGCAGTTAAAAACAAAGTTCTTACCTTTGTCTGATGCAATCACTGTAATATTATATATACCGTTTTTGATGGACTCTGCCTCTCTATCCAGACTTCTTAAAACTGTGATCGATCCTGAATTTTCATCCACATCAACCCAATTTTTAGGATCACTTAATTTCTTATAGCTGTTAGTAATGGTGAAATAAAATAACGAAATGTATGATAAGTCAAATTATAATACTGGTATCAAAATAAGTTACAAATTTTTAAGACAGTGAATTTAGAGTTAACTAAAATAAAATTATGAAGACCTTATGCCGCTGCTGCTTCTTGTTTCTGGGTCATACGCTTTGTATCCGTTGTTCGTTGTGCTTATGGGTGCATTTTCCTTGATTCGGACAGTTTGTGCTGGAGGGTTGCACTCAGGGCCCTCATCCTGATTTTTCACATTCACGGTAACTGTTGCTGTGCTCATAGTGGATCTCGAACTGACTTCTTTAGAATACGGAGCTTCATTCATTACAGCAATTTGCAGGGTCACCTGTTGTCTTTCTTCGTAATTCAGTGGCTTCAAAACAAATGTGTTGAAAATCAGACTAAACCATTTAACAGTTGGCAGTGCTAACTAGTACATGTAACTTGTTAAATTTGGCAGTATGTAAGTGCTGTATTAGGAATAGTCATGAGAAGATTACATATATACCCCAAATCATAGTGATGGTAAATTTAATAAGGGTACTCCTTCAACTGATGCAGTATGCCAGAAGAGCAGAAGAGCTGGCCAAAAAAAAAAAAAAAAAAAAAAA